TCAAGGAAGACATATGAAGAGAGCCCAACAGGAATCCAATGCGGAAACAAGACAGTTGTGGCAAAATCCCCTTGTCAGGCTGTATTCCATCTGGCCCTTCTGGGCCAAGACTCGCTTCTCCACGGAGCATTTATCAATCAGGGTCCCAGCAAAGCAGATGGCACACTGCATAATTGAAGAGGTTTTAATAAAGGGACTATTTACTAAGGTTTGGCAAGGTTAGGAACACCAGCAAGAGACAATGCAACGCTCTGAGGCTAGCAACAGCAGGGTGCTGTTTCCACCCCCAGGCCTGAAAAAGCAAAGGAAGGGAACAGAAGAAACCCGACGAACAGAAGAACAGAGTGGGCCACCTGGACAAGACCTGTGGCCACCACTGAGGGAAGCCCAAAACCAGCAGAAAGAGTGGGGGGGTAGGAAAGCGTAACAAATACTCCTGTCTCACACTCGGGTCATACCTCCAACCTCCAGTGGGAAAAACCCACCTAGACACAAAATAGCAAGGGTCCTACTGACGTAATACACACAGGTCAGCCTCCGTGGACACATGTCAGGGTGGAGAAAGGGTCTGTAAGAGTAGACAGAACCATCCACTCATGGGCAGGACCCTCAGAGAAACATAGAGCAAGCTGCAAATTCAGCAGCTGAAACATCAAAGAGCACATTGGTACAGGCCTTTTGGCTCCCCGAGCAGCACCATGGTGGCTGGGAAGAACAGACACCTTACAAAAGGCAGCAAAAAGAGAGGCAAGAAGAAAGTGCTTGAGCCATCTTCTAAGAAAGACTGGTATGATGTGAAAGCACCAGCTAGCTTCATACAGTGTAAGAAATACTGGGAAAAAACACAAGTCATGAGAACTCAAGAAAGCAAAATTGCATCTGTTAGCCTCAAGGGTTGTGTTTTTGAAGTGAACCTTGCTGATCTGCACAATGAAAGAGTTGCACTTAGAAAATTCAAGCTAATTGCTGAGGACACTCAGGGCAAAAAGTGCCTGATGAATTAGCATGGCATGGATCCTACCAGTGACAAAATGTGCTCCATGGTCAAAAAAATGACAGACCGTGATTGAAGCTCAGATTGATGTCAAGACTACCAATGGTTATTTGCTTCGTCTATTTTGTGTTGATTTTACTTAAAAATGTAGTTCCAAGAGGTCCACCAAATTGAGAAAAAGATGATGAAATCATGACCTGAGATGTGCAGACAAATGACTTGCAAGGAGTGGTCAATAAATTGATTCCCGGCAGTATCGGAAAAGACACAGAAAAGGCCTGCCCATCTTTTTATCCACTCCATGATGTCTTCGTTAGAAAAGTAAAAATGCTGAAGAATCCCCGCTTTGAGGGGGGAAAGGAATGTTCATGAAGCTTCATGGTCAAGGCAGTAGATCTGGAAATGCTACTGGGGGTGAAACTGGTGTCAAGTTGAACAAACTGATGGATATGAGCCACTAGGCCAAGAATCTGTTTAAAGTTCAGACATTTAATGGTGACAGATAAAAGATCTTGTGATGTTTAAATTTTAAAAATTTCTTGGTATAGAAAACCTACACATTTGGTGTCGGAAGTACTGTCAGTATAGACAATCATAGTTTACCTTTACCTTCTATGATTTCCTATAGAAATTCTATCTCTCCGAGCCATCTGGCAGCCTTCAGAGCACAATATTACTATCTACTGTTTTTTATTAGACTTTATTTTTTAGATCAGTTTTAGGTTCATGGCAAAATTGAGCAGAAAAGTGCAGAGTTCCCATATACCGTCCCCCCAAGCTATCCCTACTGTCAACATCCTCTGCCGGAGTGGAATGTTCGTTGTATCAATGAGCCTGCCCTGACACGTCACAATCACCAAGAGACCACATGACATTGCACTTGCAGCGCTGAGCATTCCCTGGGTCTGGGAAAATGCGCAACAACATGAATCCACCATTACAATATCAGACAGAATACCGCCAGCACCCCAAAACATCGCTTTGTACTCTGCCTATTCATCTTGCTGCCCCAACACCGGCAACAGTGATCTTTCTACTGGCTTTGCCTTTTGCAGAAGTCACAGAGCTGGAATCACACAGTGTGTAGCCACTTCTGATTGGCTTCCTTCACTTAGTAACATGCATTTAAGTTTCCTTTATGTCTTCTCATGACCCCGTAGCACATTTCTTCTCAGCACTGGACAATACTGCATTGTCTGTACGGACCACAGTTTATCCATTCACCTACTGAAGGACATCTTGGTTGCTTCCAACTTTTGGCAATTACTGAATAAACATCTGCGTGTAGGTTTTTGTGAGGACACGAATTTTCAGCTTCTCTGAGTACATGCCAGGGAGCGTGGTTGCTGGAACGTACGGTAAAAGTGTACTAGTCTTGTAAGAATCTGCCAAACTGTTTTCCAAAATGGCCGTACCATTTTGAACTACTGCCAGCAGTGAATGAGAGCTCCTGTTACTCCACACCCTCATGAGCATTTGGGGTTGTCAGTGATCCAGATTTTAGCCATCCAGATAAGTGTGTGGTGGTATCATGTTTTAACTGCATTTCCTTGATGACCTATGAAGTGGAGCATCTTTTCATATGCTTATTTTCTATCTACGTCTCTTCTTTGGTGAGGTGTCTGATGAGGTATTTGGTCCATTTTTTAATAGGGTTATTTATTTTCTTATTGTTGAGTTTTAACAGTTCTTTATATACTTTGGATAATGGTCCTTCACCAGATACACCTTTGGCAAACATCTTCTCCCAGTCGGTAGCTTGTCTTCTCACTCTCTCAACAGTGTCTTTTGCAGAGGGGAAGTTTTTAGTTTTAGTAAGTCCAGCTTATCAGTTACATCTTTTCTAGCTCAAGCCTTTAGTGTTGCCTCTAAAAAGTCATCACCACACCCCGGGTCGCCTAGATTCTCTCCTCTGCTAACTTCATCACCATTAACTGAGTATATATATGTCCACATCGAGTAGCCATCATGGAGCTGGTTCTTACGACAGAAGATGAACAAGGCAACAAAACCCTCAAGCATCCTGAAGCACTGCTTCCAGGAACTCCGTCAACCTCGAACACAGTGACGCTCAGATGGGAGAGATGAGAGTGGTCACAGTACAGCGGCACAAACGTAGCCTCAAACTCGCGCACACAGGCCCAGAGCACACCTGCCCAGCCGGATGCCAGGCCCGACCCTGCCACCACCAGCTGTGCGCCCGTGTCTCAGCTTCGTCATCAGAAATGTGAGGAACATATTTACACCCGCTTCACGTCCCAGTGCTGCTGTGAAGATTAGTTGACGTAACCCCCATGGAAGGCCCCGCGTCCCGCCTCCCGCACCAGGACCTCACAAGAAATGCCGGCCCTTGTACACACTCCGAGGTGGGGACTCACGTACACAGTCTGACAAACTCAGAAAAATGATCGCTGCTTTATGTTTTTAATTGCTGTATTTCATTTTATTTTGAAATCTCAAAGAAGATTAAGGTGTTGTCTAATTCTCACGTTCTACGGCCAGCCAATACAGCAAGGAGCCAAAGGAAATGAACAACAGCACATGGAAGACGTCAGACAGAGCCAGCAGGGAAAGTGTGCAGTTAAAACCCCAGCGTGGTGACGGGAGTCCATTTTCTTTTTTTTAAATACACAATTCCCACTTATAACAAAACAATTAAAATTTTAAGTGAGAAGCTCAATTCATGCAATATTTCAACATTGCATTACTGGTTTTCATTTGTACTAATCTAACAGAGGAAAATGAACTATGAGTATTTAAAAATTAAACCGTAGCACTGAGGATAACTTACTTCTCAGCGGCTTCAGTAAGAATCTGGTCTGAAGAACCATGGCTAATGAAACAAAGCATCAGTTCTATTTTCCAGTGTAACTACAAAAATTATACGCAGGAGAATATCAAAACGGAACACTACTTTTTAAAGTACTTGTAGGAGCACCTGGCTGCCTCAGTCGGAAAAGCATGTGACTCTTGATCTCAGGGTTGTAAGTTTGAGCCCCATGCTGGGTCTATAGATTACCTAAAAATTAAAAAAAAAAAAATTTAAGTACTTTTTAAAAGCATATGGGCAACTAATTAGGTGATTAAAAAACGCACACAATGTCAACTGTACCTCAATAAAGTTACCCCCAAAACCCACATAAATAAAATCATTTCCTTATTTATTTGTTTGTTTATCTGTTTATTTATTTAAGTCAGCTCCACACCCAGCGTGGAACCCAATACGGGGCTCAAACTCACAACCATGAGATGAAGACCTGAGCCAATATCAAGAGTCAGACATTTAACCAACTGACTCACCAGGGCATTCTTCATTTCCTTATTTTAAAACTGATTAAATTATGTCTTCCTGACCTGAAACTTAAATGAAATCTATTTCACACCTGACTCACTTATAAGCCAATCAATATATGCCTCCCATATTAGATTGGTGAAAGCACGAAACAGTCAAGGACAAAATATTAATCATTTTATGTGTAAATAAATGTTAAGTGATATTTTTATAATATGGTTCACACAATACAGTAGTTCCCCCTTCTTACCAGCCAGGGGATATGGTCCAAGACCCCCAGGGGATGCCTGAAACCATGCACAGATAGTACCAAATCCTATACATATTGTGTTCTTCCCTATACATACACAGATACGACGAAGTTTAATTTATAAATTAGGCCCAGTAAGAGATTAACAGTAATAACTAATAATAAACTAGAAAAATTACAACCATAGACCGCAATAAAAGTTATGTGAATGTGGTCTCTCTCTCTCTCAAAATGTCTTATTGTCCTCTCTTCATGATTCTTGTGATGGGAAGCGAGGTGACCGAGGTAGGCATTCGGACACAGGGTCAGGCCACTATTGACCTTCTGACGATAAGTTAGAAGGAAGACCATCTGCTCCCGGACATCAGTCGACTGTGGCTAACTGTACCCAGAAAGCAAAAGTGTAGATAAGGAACAGGGGACCAACCACCATATACACCTGCTTATCCTACTTGGACAATTACCTTTAATCGTTTCCTCCACAACTTCTACCACTCGATCTATCTGTTGAACCTAAAAAGAAAACAAATTGTTAGACAAGCAATTGACATGGATGAGAAACATTAATTTGTGTCTACCCTTCTGCTTGAGTCAGTGTATCACATTTTCTAAGCACACGAATGTAGGTTTTCTTTAATTAATGCATTGGGAGATATTATAAAAAATATTCTGTATTAATGTTTTGTGTTACAGTGAAGTATGAAATTACTACTCTCCTGTCCTCCAATGATAAAGGAAGAAATCATAATACATTTAAATAAACTGCCTGGAGTTCTGGTAGCATAGCCTATCAACATAAACTCAACACATACTGAGATACAAACTGACATTTAATTAAAACATGTCTCTTCACACACACATTCTCTTCTTTTCATTCTTTAAGAAAAATGGCTTGAAATGACAACCCACACAAAAGGACATGCTGGTATTAAGGAAATCTACCCCAAATTCTAGGCTTTATTATTCTAACCCGGAAGCCCCTTTTTAATGGATATTTACTGTGCGCTGGTCACTGCCCTCATGTCAATGGGAGACAGAGCCAAATAGTAATGGCTCCTATCCTAGACACCAGTGACTAAAGGAGAGCTCCCCGGGGTACCATGGAAACACAGAGGAAAGGTAATAAATTGTGACTGAGTGATCTAGGAATGCTTCTCAGGGAACCAAAGAGGGCTCTTGAGGGATAAACCAGATTAAGACAGGAGAAGCCCACTAAGGAGACTGAGTTAGAATGGCTAGTGTGTAGAAGGAAAATGAAAAAAACAAAGGTTGTAGTGAGAAGCTAAGGGAAGAGAGAAAGTCGAAACAGAGTAAGTCCTAAGTTGATACTACTCATGCCTTAAAATCTTCAAATCATTTGCTTTATTATAGAAGAAATACATGTTCATTGAAAAATTCAAACAAATTAGGGCGCCTGGGTGGCTCAGTGGGTTAAGCCTCTGCCTTCGGCTCAGGTCATGATCTCAGGGTCCAGGATCGAGGCCTGCATCAGGCTCTCTGCTCAGCACGGAGCCTGCTTCCTCCTCTCTCTCTGCCTGCCTCTCTGCCTACTTGTAATCTCTCTCTCTGTCAAATAAATAAATAAAATCTTTAAAAAAAAATTTTCAAACAAATGAGAAACATAAAAAGGAAATAAAGTTACCTGTATTATCATACATCCTCTATTTCTACTCCTCAGATAGTATCATTCATAATCCCTTAATAAGTAGGTACCAGACATCTTCCAATGCAGAACATTTATATATAGCTCTGCTCTGTCCTTTCTTACAAATTACGAGATAAATAGGTAGACAGATAAATGAGAGGGAAAATAACAGACCTGCCTCTTTATTTTTTTCTATACAACATCAATACATAGAGGTCTACTTCATTTATTTCACTAGCTGCCTAGTACCTCATGTATCGATAGACCATAATGCATTCACCCATTCCCCAACTGACAGACCCTTATTTTTAATCTTTCATTATCATACAATGATGCTGCAATGAACTCAACTGAGTAAACACCTTTTTAAAAAGTGCAGTGGCAAGTCTCTTAAATATTCCCTTGGCCTCACTGTGCTATGGGAAGTGAGGAAAAGACTTGAGAGAACACACCTGGATTCCGCTCTGCCTCTGACCACTCAGCCCAGCATAAGAGTAGCAGCTTCACTAACTACTGAGAAACTGCCAAAGGCAAAGTAAATCTCTGTTGGATCACAGATCCCAAACAAACCCACCTCACTGGAACCACTGGAACCACTAGGTTCTGGTTTTATGAAGAGAATTCATGTGGCCTCCTTATAGAATGTGATCAAAGCCAGAATAACGGGGTTCGAAGAGGAGGAAAGTACCCAATAGGGTCAAATGCGACAGAGATAGTAAGTTCACATAAAGACTGGAATATAAATGCCTGATCCAACAATGAGGGAGTCGATGAGCTTAGGGGAAGAAGTGAGGTCACAGTAATGAGTCATAACTAAGAAAATACAGTAAATAGAGCCTACTCCTACAGATGGATGGAAAGGAGGAGACATGGGTAGGACAAGGAAAGAAGAGTTGCCCAAATTTCCCAGTGGAATGGGGATGAATACCCAAGATATCAGCTGAGGATACAAGACAGAGAATAAAAGTAGCACAATATGAGAAAATCCAATGGTGGAACAAAAACAGCAAAGTGTTCCTATGTAGCTGGAGATCTAATAGCTCAAAGGGATCACTGCATCCAGTCTTACAACACACAGACTGGGAGGGAAGCAGTATTCCTAGACAGTCAGAATTTCTCTGGAGTGGTTAATTACAGGTGGAGCAGTCAAAAAAATTACCAAGTTGAGGGCCAGCTAAAACTGTAATATTCTTAGAAGATGACATTGTCATAAATGTAGGTGAACCTTAGGTTAGATGGTGATGTTTTAGATATTACACCCAAAACATAAACAATAAAAGGAAAAAGGTAAACTGAACACCATCAAAATTGAACACCATTAAAATTAAAACCTCTTGATACATCAAAGGACACCATTGAGAAAGTAACAAGACAACACAGAAAATGGGAGAACATTTTTGCAAATCATAAACATAGTATGACTCAGATTTGTATCTAAAATATGTAAGGAGCTCCTGTAATTCAATAATAAAAAGACAAATCATTTAAAAATGGGGAAAAATGAGTGGCTTATTTGGTTAAGCATCGGACTCTTGATTTCAGCTCAGGTCTTAATCTCAAGGTTGTGAGTTCCAGCCCTGCAATGGGCTCCACACTGGGCAAGGAGCCTACTTAAAAAAATGATAGAATAAAAATTAAAGTTAAAATGGGCAGGGGAACCTGGGTGGTTCAGTTAGTTAAACATCCAACTCTTGATTTTGGCTCAGCTGGTGATCTCAGGATTGTGGGATAGAGCCCCGCATCGGGATCTGGGCTCAGTATGGAGTCTGTTTGAGACTTTTTCTCTTTCCCTCTCCCTCTCCCTCTGCCCCTCCTCCTGCTCTCACTCTCTCTCTCTCTCTCTCTCTCACACACACACACACACACACACACACACACACACTCAATTCTCTTTCTCTCTTTCTCTCGTTCTGTCTCTAAAATAAATAAATGAGATCTTTAAAAAAATGAAAATGGGCAAAGTCTATCTGAATAGACACTTCACCAAGGAAGATACACAAATGGCCAATAAACATATGGAAAAAAATGTTCAATATCATTAGTCAACCAGGGAATGCAAATCAAAATCACAATGGAAGAATAGGGAGCTACTATGTATTGGGTCTAGATTTTCAGTTTGTTAAAATGAAAACATCCTGGAGGTGAATGGAGGTGATGGTTGCACAACTGTGTGAAAGCACTGAAACACACCTAAAATTAATCAAAGTAGTAATTTTTATGTTATATATATTTTACCATAATGAGATACTACTTCATACCCACTAGGGCGGCTATAATCAAAAGGTGAGATGACAAGTATAGGCAAAGATGCAGAGAAACTGGAATCGTCCTACAGTGCTAGTGGGAACGTAGTATAATGGTACAGTTGCTTTGGAAAATAGTCTGGAGGAGCCTCAAATAGTTCACAGAGTCACAGAACGATCCAGCAATTCCCATTGTAAGGATACACCCAAGAGAAAGAAAAACAGACGTCTACGCAAAACCTTACAGACAAAAGTTCACAGCAGCATTGTTCAAAATAAGCAGAAGGTAGAACCTACTCAATTCTCATCAACTGATAAAGAATCAAAAGGTGGTACAGCCATACAAGGAAATATCGTGATACCATCAAGGGGAACAGGAGCCAGAGTAGTCCCCCCTTATCCATGGTTTCATGTACCCGCAATCCGGAACCAGACGGTCCTCCCTCTGACATATCCTTAGAAGGTCCACAGGCTAGTTCACGGTGCCTACGTCACTCGCCTCATTTCATCCCATCACGTAGGCATTTTATCATCTCACATCATCACAACGAGAAGGATGAGTACAGTAGGATGACTAGAGTACGTGAAGATATTTTGAGAGATAGACCACATCACATGTTACATTACATAATACATTACCTTCCATTATATTATAGCACATGATTACAATTGTTCTATTTTATTAGTAGTAATTGCTGTTAATCTCTTGCTTCACCTATTTCTAAATTAAACTTTAGCACAGGTGTGTATGTATGGGAAAAAAACACAATAGATATAGGGTTCAGTATAATCCATGGTTTTAGTGTGCACTGTGATCCTGGAACACATCCCTCACAGATAAAGGAAGGGGATACTATATGCTGAAACAGTATGCTAACTGAAGCCAGGCCAAAAAAAAAAAAAAGTCAAATATTGTATGATTCCAGGTATATGAAATGGCCAGAACAGGTCAATGTTCAATGACAAAGTAGATTAGTGACTGCCTGAGGGCGGGGCAGTAAAAGAAATGAAAGAAACTGCCAGGGAGTGCTGAGTTTCTTTTCGGAAGGATGAAAAAATACTACAATTGATTGTGGTGATTGTGGCATAATTTTGAATATATTAAAAACCATTAAATTACACACATTATGTGAGGTCACTGTATAGTATGTGAATTACAGCTCAAAAAAGCGGTTATTTCAAAAATAATTATATGGGCCCACCTAGGTGGCGCAGTCAGTTAAGCCTCCGTGTCCTGGTTTCAGCTCAGGTCCTGAACGCAAGGTCATGAGATCGAGCCCCATACCAGGCTCAGCATTCAGCTCAGAGTCTGCTCAGACTCCTTCCCCTTCTCCCTCTTTCCCCGCCCCCCACACTCTAGCTCTAAAATAAGTAAATCCTTTAAAAATAATAATAATTATACAGGTTGGAGGTACTCAAATGTTCTAATGCTGAGCTAATGAAACTCAAGGGAAAACTAAGGAAATATTCCAAATTAAAGGAGCCTAAAGAAACCTGAGAACTGAATGCAACTTGGCATCTGGATTCTTTCTTCCCCTCTAAAGGACATAATTAGAAAACAGCTGACAAGGGCTGAATAAGGTCTGCATGCTAACTTATAGAAGTGTATCTTTGCTATAAAGTTA